AAATTAAATTTTTTCTTATAAAATTAAATTACATTTTATTATTATTATTAAAATAAATTAGATTATGGATAATTCATGAAAAGAATTATATTCATTGTGACTTGCATAGTGGTAACATTTTTTCATACAACTATGATCATAGTGTAATAGGAGATTTAGGATTATGTCAACAAAAAGATGAGGAACTAAATGAGATCTTTGGAGTCATTCCATACCTGGCACCTGAAGTATTAACAAAAAAACCATATACAAAAGAATCAGACATTTATAGTTTTGGGATGATTATGTGGGAATTCACCACAGGTAGAAAACCTTTTAATGATGTTCCACATAATTATACTCTCGTATCAGATATTCTGAGAGAAACAAGGCCTAAAATCACCAAAGACACTCCTGAATTCTATGCTGAATTGATGAAAGCATGTTGGGATTCAAATCCAAAAAAATAGACCAACTGCTAGTGAACTTTATGATTGTTTCAGGAAATATAGTTCTAAGCTTTTTAAAGAAAGCAAGAAAGTCATTGATTTAGCAGAATTAAAACGTCAAGAGATCATTATATCAAAAAAATTTCTTTCAGAAACAAAAAAATATGAACGTCATGTAGATGCATTCTATACAACTCGCTCACTTAGTAAAATAATTGAGCCGGCAAATTTATCAAATGAATTGAGTCATCAATCTACTCGATCTGCTATGAATGAAACTGAATTATTAAACAAATTAAAACTATCAATTGAATTAATTTATCCAAGATATGATAATGAATATGGTATACAAATTAGGATTAATCATTTTCTAAATGAATTATATGGAACATTAAAATTAATAGAAGATTGTACTCATCATGAAGATGTTACTTATCTTATTCCTCCTTTATTGAAAGAATCAGTTGGTGCATTAAATCAACTTTCAATTCAATTAAAAGGGTATGAGGAAAAAAAAATAAAAAATTAATTAAAAAATCATATAAAAATTTAATTTACATAGGTTCTAGATTGAATAGGATTGAATTATGCAATGGTTGTAAAGAAAAGGAAATTGAAAACTTAGAGGCTGATTGTGGAAATAAAGAAATAGCCAAGTTTC